AGGGGAAGAGGCAGGGAGAGGAGAGGGCTGGGAGACGGGAGGAGGCTGCAGGGAGAGGGAAGAGTGGTAGGATTAGGAAAGACGCTGGAGTGAGGAGACAGACGGAAGGCTGAAGGGGTAGGTGAAGGTAGAGCACGAGGACCACATGATGAGATGGGTGGCAGGCTGGTGGCAGGACAGGTGGTGCTGTGGAGGTCAACTCACTTTTTCTCCTGAGTCTTCTTGAGGATGAAGGTGACAAGCTTCTTAATCAGCAGGATGAGGATGAGGAGCCCGATGACTCCGCCCACGACGGCCAGGATGATGAGTGTCACCGTGTTGTCCACTTCCTCCACTGCGTGGCCGGAGGAGGGAGGGAAGTAGGGACAGGGAACAGGAGTCACCTGGAGGCGAGCACTATGGCAGTGCAGGGTTGTGCAGCCTCCACCCCTGGCATCTGGGACACATGCACCTCCAGGTCCCCAGCCCTCCCCTGGCCTTACAGCAGGGAAACATGACATCCATCAGGCTAAGGCACCACACAAAGGAGCTCCCTCCCCGTCCCACAGGCACACACCCAAGTTCTAGAATAAATCATAACTGGAGCCCACAACACCCAGCTTTGAAGCGTGTGAGGATTCCACTGGCAGCTTCTAGGTCTCCTTCTCCCATGCAAAAAATATAAAGGACTTCCCTATGCTATCTCTTAGATGGCAGGAAGGCTTTGAGGTCAGATAGTCTGGATTTTAACTACAGGATTTTAACTGTCATTAACAAGTTGGTAATGTTGGGCAGGTCATTGACCCCTTCTAGCCTCAGTTTCCTCATCTAAAAACTAAACTCCTGACTTCTTCCCAAACCCACAAGTATCCCCCACTTTTGTTGAGAAGGACTCCATCCTTCCAGTTGCTCTGACCAAAATCCTTCGAGGCATCCTTGACTCTCTTTTCTCAATCCACATATCCAATCTACCTGAGAATCCTTATGGCTCTAGCTTCAAAAAAAAGAATTCTAGAGTCTGACCACTCACAACTACCTTGGCCCAAGCCACCACTTGCCTGCAGTAGCTTCCTAACCAGTCTCCTCATTCCATCATTTATTCTTGGCACAGAGGCCAGAGTGAGCCTGTTCAGACCTAACTCCTCTGCTCTGAGTCCTCTGTGGCTCCCAGCTCACATGTACTCACAGTGCCCCCCAGAATCTGCCTCAATTTGACTCATCTCTTACTACTTGCCCTGTCCCAGCCACACCAGCCTCCTTGTTGCAGTTCAAGCATTTGCCTCAGGGCCTTTGCACCTGCCGTTCCCACTGGACTATCTTCAGAAAGACATCCTCACAACCTTNTGACCCCTTCTAGCCTCAGTTTCCTCATCTAAAAACTAAACTCCTGACTTCTTCCCAAACCTGCTCACCCACAAGTATCCCCCACTTTTGTTGAGAAGGACTCCATCCTTCCAGTTGCTCTGACCAAAATCCTTCGAGGCATCCTTGACTCCTCTCTTTTCTCAATCCACATATCCAATCTACCTGAGAATCCTTATGGCTCTAGCTTCAAAAAAAAGAATTCTAGAGTCTGACCACTCGCAACTACCTTGGCCCAAGCCACCACTTGCCTGCAGTAGCTTCCTAACCAGTCTCCTCATTCCATCATTTATTCTTGGCACAGAGGCCAGAGTGAGCCTGTTCAGACCTAATTCCTCTGCTCTGAGTCCTCTGTGGCTCCCAGCTCACGTGTACTCACAGTGCCCCCCAGAATCTGCCTCAATTTGACTCATCTCTTACTACTTGCCCTGTCCAAGCCACACCAGCCTCCTTGTTGCACTTCAAGCATCTGCCGCAGGGCCTTTGCACCTGCCGTTCCCACTGGACTATCTTCAGAAAGACATCCTCACAACCTTCCTCCCTTGCCTCTTTCAAATGTCCTCACTCTACGTGCCTTCCCTAGCAACCCTGCTAGCACTGCATTTCCTTACCTGCTTTATTTCTTCTCCATAAAACTAACCATGTCCCCTTACACAATATCATTTTCTTATTTTTTTAATTATATATCTCCCTCTACTAGAAGGGGAGAAAGTTAATCTCTATAAGGGCACGAATTTGTCTATCTTGTTCATGTGGTATCCTTGGCACCTAGAACAATGTCTGCCACACAGAAGATGCTCAGTAAATACACATTGAATAGATGGCTGAATGAATCTGTAAAAATGGAGAGATCTACCTCGAAGGGACTTTGTAAGTAGCAAAGGAGCTAAGACAAGGGAGAGCGCCTAACTCAGTGCCTAGCACCCAGAAATGCTCCATAAATGTGGGTTCCCTTCCCTTCTCTTCCCCCAAAAAAGCTGAACACAAAGCAGGATGACAGGAGCCCAAACAGAGAGGAAAAGGTGACGCCATGCACAGACCCAACTCAGGCGACCCTAGGCTCAGAAATAGCCGCCTGGCTGGCCTCCAGCTCTGACCTTGACACAGCCAAAATTGATCTCATGGGTGTCTCCCTCTCCAGGTATTCCACGTCTTCCAGGAGAGCAGTGAACCCCCGGGGACACACAAAGTGCAGCAGAATCAGGAGCCCTGAGCAGTTTCCCCTCCCCTTTTCTCTGCTTCTGTGCTTCCCTAGTTCTTTCAGGCTCCTCCCCTCCACGAGGGCAGCCGAACTTCTCCAGCCCTGTCCAGCACCTCCTGCTCCTCTAACCACTGCCAGCGTCTTGGTGTCATGTGACCATCTGACTCCTCATCATATGCACCTTCTTTGTCTAATCGGTCCACCTGTGTCAGACTGGACTCCCAGCTGGGAGGTAAGCTCCCAGACGGAAGGGACCATGTCTTATTCCATCTCTGTCGTCTGTGCCTCTACTGGCATACGTGTCAGGCTCTGCTCCTATTTCAGTTATTTATCTGTCTTCTGCCCTATCTTAAACTGTAAGTTTCTCAAGGAAGAATAGCACATATCATTCACAGCACTTTGAATACAATATCTGACATTCAGTCAACTTTTGCTAATGGAATACGCAATCAAAGTTATAATCAGCACACACAGAAAGAGCTTTACTAGCCACAAAGCACTCTCAGGCAGCTTATCTAACCCTCACAACAACCCTAGGAGAATGCAGACACATTCCTAGTTTGCAGATGAGGAAAACAAGGCTTAAGAGAGGCTAAGTGTATTTCGCAAGCCATTCCGTGGCAGAATAAGTATTCAAGCTGAGTTCTTGGAGCATCTAGATGAAACTCCAGTAACTCTTGAAAGCGTAAAGTGGAAGAAAGCACCAACGTGGGTAATTATACCATTTCATTGCAACACTCTGTCGGGTGCCCCCCAAGTCCTCCCCACTCCACTGCCTTGTCCCAGCCCCTCCTGCATACGTTTATCGACGACTTGGAGGAAGACGGTGGCGTTCTGTTGAAGACCGTTTTCCCTGGGGTTCTTCACATGACAGGTGTATTTGCCTGTGTCGCTGAACTCCAGGTACTTCAGCACAATGGAAATGTTGTTCATCTTCTCCTTAATGGAGCCCACCAGAGTGATGCGGTCATCGTTTTTCAACTTTACCTTGGGGTCAGACTTCTCATTCTTCACAGTCCCGTTTAAGAGCTGGGGTGAGGGGGAGGAGGTGGCCAAGAAAAAATCAAGGTCTCGAGGGTCATGACATCAGGCCAGCCTACTCCTTGGGTGCCTCCCTTTGTCCAGGTCCTGGAAGAGCCTGCAGTCAGAGCCTGCTTTCCCCCTTGGTTTCCTCTTCCAGTGTCAATAGCTCTGCCTGTCTAATCTGAATTTTGCTTGTTTCAGGCTAAGCCCATTTCCTTTTATTAAGGTCTCCTGGAATGTAGCACAGCTCTTACTGGTCTCTTAAAAAAGCCTTTTACATAATGGCTCCTGCAAATCCCACACTCATTTCCTTCTGCCACTTCCC